GAACCAAACCAAGAATGCATGCACAATGCAATGAGCACATCCAAACCAAGAGTGCATGCACAATGCAATGAGCACATCCAAACCAAGAGTGCATGTACAATGCAATGAGCACATCCAAACCAAGAGTGCACGCACAATGCAATGAGCACATCCAAACCAAGAGTGCATGCACAATGCAACGAGCACATCCAAACCAAGAGTGCATGCACAATGCAACGAGCACATCCAAACCAAGAGTGCATACACAATGCAATGAGCACATCCAAACCATAGCATCCTTTGCTGTTGCTAGGGTCATGACACCATTTGGGTGTCAAATCACAGTCATGTCTATCCTTGAAGTACTGGTCAAAATGAGCGGATGCGTCTTCTTGAAAGAGTAGCTAAGCATCATGAACATTTATGCCATTATCTACTCCCTCTGTTGAATCATTAAATAACATATAATTCAGAATTAAATTATAAAAAATAATTTACAATTGAAATATATGTTTGCTGTATTATATCTCAACAGAAGTCTAAGAGCTATTTGAGCACTGCTCTAAATTAATATAAGAAAATTTTTCTTTTATTTTGCTTTTGTTCTTGTTTTTCAAGACAGGGTTTCTTTATGTAGCCCCGACTGTCCTGGAACTAGTTCTGCAGTAGGACAGGTTGTTTTCAAACTCAGAAGATCTGCCTGCTTCTGCCTCCCAAGTGCTGGGATTAAAGGTGTACGCCACCTCCACCCAGCTAGAAAAATTTTCCTGTTCTTTCTCTCTTTCTTTGCTTTGTAGACCAGGCTGGCCTAGAACTCACAGAGCTCCACCTGCCTCTGCCTCCCAAATGCTGGGATTAAAGGCGTGCACCACCACCTCCCCAATAGAAAAATCTTCTTAACTATCTTGAATAATGGGTAGAATTGCCTTAATTTGCATCCTTACGTGTTCCCTTATACTTTGCTTGCTATGCATGTTCTAGTAAGTCATTTCCCCTTAATTTTCTGTGTTGATATTTTGAAATTGTTTTACTTTGAAACCCAGGTTGGTTTGAAACTAGCAGCCCTCCCTTTCAAAATCTCCGTTAGTACTGGGATTCCAGGTGTGTGCCAACATGCCCCACACCCTATAAATTTATTATTACAAAAAATGCGCTGTGTTACTTGTTGTGACAAAACATCTGAGACAAAAGATGACTTAAGAAAGGCAGGGTTTGGAGCTGAAAGGGTGGCTCGGATGGTAGGAGCTGCTCTTTCAGGGTCCTTGGGTTTGATTTCCACCACCCACTTGGAGTGACTTGCAATCACAGGTAGGTCCAGTTCCAAGAAACGCAAAGCCCTCTTCTGGAATCCACGGGTACCTGTACACATGTGGTGCTTCACATATAAGCAAGCAGGTACACACACATATACATGAAATATTTTTTAATAAAATGTAAAGGAAAGGAAGGATTTCTTTGGGTTCACAGTTTGAGGGTAGTATCTATCCCGACAGGGAAAGCCTGGTGGCAAGGGCATGAGGTGGCTGATCATATTGCAGCCATAGCCAGGTCACCAAGAGAGAGAAATGCTGATGCTTGGATCACTTTCTCAGTTTGATTGACTCCAGGTAACCAGTCTGTAAAATGATGTTGCCCACACTCAGAGGGTATCTTTCTAGTCCAATAAGCCCAATTTAGAAAGTCCCTCATAGGTGTACTCAGATATGTGGTTCCATGGTGACTCTAAATCCCACCCAGTTGACAAGATCATCCACAGCAAAAAGAGTGAAAGCGCATCCTGGGTTGGTGTGAAAATTAAAGGGACATTTTTGAGCAGTGTAGTTAGAACATTGTGAGAGCTATAAACATATACCTCTTTCAGAACCCGTTTAAAGGGTGAGTACCCTCAGCATAAAGTCTAATGTCAGCCTGAGTGTCAGCCAAAGGACACAGAAATAGAAGTTTTAGTTCCACTTTATTACTTGCCTTCCCATCTGTAACATTAGGCTCAGACTTGACTTGTGGATCCTGAGGTAAACCACCAACAAATTTTTTCTGGGTTCTGTGTATTCATATACATAACGAAGCTACCAACAACAATAATAATACTGAATATTTACTGAGCATTTGCTATCTGTTAATTATTATGGCAATCATCATATGGGCAATTTTCTCATATAATCATCAAAATTTAGTAGATAATAACTATTATTTCTTCCTTTTACAGGTGAGAAAGCTAAGGCCGAATATTTAAATGACCAAATATTTACCCAATAATTCACGCTAAGGAAGTTCTCAAGGTAGAAATCAAATTCAAGCAATGGGGTATCAGAGTTCAAATCTTCACTTGGCGCTTTAATGTCTTCATGGAATAAGTAAACTAAGCACATTGCCACTGTGGTTCATCAGACTCAAAAGGTGAACACATGTTCTGCCCCCTACCATCCCATCTTAACCTCCAAATACAGTGTGTTTTTGTAATCATATAATCATGTAGAAAACGATGTTGACAGAAAGTTATTTGCTTCCAGAGCACTCAAGATTAGCTCCCACATTATACACAACAGTCAGTTCATTAAGAAGGATTTTAACATTTTCTGCTGGAAATAGGAATGCATTCCTTATTTAGAATGTGAAGATTCTATCTCGTTTGATTTTAGTTTTTTTCTGCCATATATGTCTGAATTTCAATGAAAAGGTTATGTTTCTAGATTATAATATGTATAAAACACTCTGACCCACTATGTAAGTATGTAAGCTTTAGTACCACTTAAACGTAATGTGGATAACTAAGTTTGTGCAAAGCATAGATTTTTACAAGTATTAGATTTTACAAACAACTGACCTTTTGCTAAAACCAATGTTTGTGGAAACTATCAACCACAGCTGCCTTGTCCAGGATGACTGTGACCTGAACTGGTCTCCTATAAAGAGCCTCTACCAATATCAGCAGGCCTGTTTTCTCCACATTCACCTGTATACATTAAACCCATCTCCTCTGTCAGCAACGGATAAGAAATGTGCCGAGTTTCTGGGCTGCTGGTTTATCTCTATCAGAGAGCATGATACACCTCATGCCAGCTTTTCTATGTGTCTGTCCCTTCTTTATTCCCTTATTCTTTATGCCCCTTTCAAGTCAAATTCAAAGCTGTGCAGATCCTGACACATGATTTTGATACCAAAATTTTATGCTTCACTATTAAATTCATGTCATTTAAAAATACAAAATATATTCTGAGAACTTAAAAACTTGGAAGGTACTAGAGAAAATCAATTTAATAAAGAATCATCCTTTTCTGCCTTCTAACCACATAATTAACCTTGCTTTTCAGCTGTAAACTGTGTTATGCTCTCCTTTGTTTTCTAAAGTATATTAAAAACACTTAATAAAATACACTAACTCACTTATTTGAAATCTTCTCCTGCCTGTATTTATAGAGCTACACCCACCATAGCATTGAATATTTCACATAGATAATTTATAACTTTGAGACTGATCCATATTAATCTTAATGGGTTACCTGTTTTTATATTTTAAATACTGATTTTGTGTTATGAGTACAACAAAGGTGTTAAACAGTAACCTGTGCATGGCATTAGATGGCTCTCCATTTTGCACCATTACAGGTGATGATACCTTGAGTTCCTTTACATATACATCAATCCATGCATGTGAGCATATCACTCCTACGGCATAAATTCACATACATGAAATACTTGGTCAAAAGTAGACATGTCTTTGCCTTGTCATACTGCTTTCAAAGAAATTTATCAAATAAAATCACTACAAAGTATGTCTCTGCATTAGCTAGCGTGGTAGCTAATTTTGGTTGCCAACTTGATACCCTTGGGGAGGGAAACCCGATTAAAGAATTGTCACCACATCTGGGAGGCAGTCTCTGAACTGATATAAGAGGGCCGAGCTGTGTGTGGGTTCTGGGATCCCTAGACAGGTGGCCTGAGCTGTCTAAGAGAGGTAGCTGAATAAGTAAGTCCCAGGAGGCAAGCCAGGGAGAAGCATTCCTGCATGGCTTCTGATTGCTGCTTCAGTACAGCCTCCAGTCCTGCCCTGACTTTTCACAAGGGTGAACAGTTACCTGGAAACATGAAATGAAATAAACTCTTCCCTCCACAATCTGTTTTTGGTCACTGTTTTACCACAGCAACAGAAAACAAATTAATACCTTTGTCCTTTGATAGCAAGAATGTTAGCATTTACGATTCCACTTCAATAAGCTGTCATGTTGTGTAGTCTCATAATATTGGTATATTGTTCAAGAACAAAACTTAAAAAGCTTTAAAACTCTGATAAACACAAATAATGAGTGAAACTGTTTAGGCATTTCCTGAGTAAGAGAAAACAGACACTCAAAAATTTCTGAGGAATCTTTGGAGAACAATCTTAATCATCAGATATCATATCAAAACATATCTATAAGCCAGGTGGAGGTGATGCACACCTTTAATCCCAGCACTTGGGAGGTAGAGGCAGGTGGATCTCTGTGAGTTCAAGGCTAGCCTGGGCCACAGAGTGAGTTCCAGGAAAGGCACAAAGCTACGCGCAGAGAAACTCTGTCTCGAAAAACCAAAAAAAAAAATCTATAATTTTTAAAATCTCGCTGATTTAAATTTTTTATTTGCATATAATTATGTCTGTTATAGGTGATTTGCAAGCATCTCAAACACTTTCCATTGTCAAAGCTTTCTTTAGAAGAATTAGATGGCAGTATCATTCTTGTAAAGTAATATTTAATACTAATTTTTGAGGATCTGCAATGTATCCTGGTTTTCTTCAAAATGCTCTGAAATGTATTTTGCCCAATCTTTATGATTTAATGATATTGACAAAAATTTTGGGATAAAAACTCCATGACTCACCAACATTAACTCTCTGAAAGTTATGAAAATAGAAGTGAAAATAGAAGTTCAAGATACATCACACAGAAAAAAACTTAGCTACAAATACTGGTCACAAATTCAGTAGAGAGAAAACATTGAATGAGCAAAGTAAATAGATTAACTACCTACATCAAATGTCTTACCTCGAATACAAATGATAAAGATGGGACAAGAGGCTTCAAATGACCCAATCTGTGCAGGGTTAGGAACATCAGGCAACGGAGAGTTTCCACAAGGGCTGCCTGGGGCCTGAAATAACATGGCATTAATATCCGTTAGCTTTACATACAGTCTCCATGTGTTTATGTAATAATTAACACAGCAATAACATTTACTTTTGATTTTCAGGAAAGGCAAAGCTTTTTTTTTTTAACATAATTGAGTGGTAGGTCTCTGAAGTACTTTGAATGTAGCCTTAAACTAAGAAACAAAATATATCTTTTAAGAAAAACCTGTTTTTGTCAATGTATTGTCTAGTTAAAGCAGTGATGAGCTATGCCAGAAAAACAAAATATTCAACCACTAGACATCTAGAATGTAAGGCATGTTCTCCTCAGTAGCCTAGTGTCTTTTGATGGCTTAGGAGGAAAACTGATTCACTTAACTCATTTCAAACATGGGGTTCAACACTAAGGTTTAAAAACTAAACTATAAAGGTCCATATAACATTGATATTTTATAGTAGAGGAGAAAATTTCTCTTTTGAATGAAAGAAAAAATAACAGAAGAAGTCATGCCTTGCCTTTGATCCAGAAGGAGACCAATGGATGTCAAGGTCAGGATGATGGAGCAGACCCTCAGGAGCAGAGTGACTTGAGACAGAACCTGCCAAACAAACAGAGGTCCATGGATCTTTCGGAGGGTGTAGGAGGGATATTAGCAGCTAATGCTGCCATGGAAACAGCCTGCATTTTCCAGTGTACCAGCTGTTACTCTCTGCACAGAGATGGTGGATACCGAGGGCTACTTGCTTTTTCTAGTGACACTTAATAACCTTATCGGACAGTTCAGAAGGGAACAGATAATTTCATCATGAGCTTTTGCTTAAACTGTTATGTTTACCTGTCTATTGTAAAATTTTGACTTTTACAATTATATGAAGCATCAGAACCCCCAAACATGGATAAGTAATATACATTCAAGAGATAAATATTACATTCCAGTACATATTTTCAACATGAACAGCTCATTCTGGTGTGAAATCCAAATTATCTTTGTACAAGGAAATATATAAAGGAAAATGTGTTCATCAGAGCTGTGTTAGTTTTATTTTCATTTTTTATTCTTTCATAAAAGCTAGAGTCATCAAGAAGAGAAAACTTCGCTTGAGAAAATGTCTCCATAAGATTAGCCAGCAGTCAGGTCTATGGGGATATGTTCTAGATTAATTATTGACGTGATAATTATAGAGCCCACCCTGTTGGAGGTGGTCCCGAATTGTGTGAAACAGCAGGAGGTGCAAGATACGGGAGAAAGCCAACAAGCAGTACTCCCCATGGCCTCTGCTTCAGTTCCTGCCTTGGTTTCCTTCAATAATATGTGACATGGGGTATATATACGCCAGTTAAACCCTTCCGTCCCCAACATTGTTTATGGTCATAGTATTTATCAAAGCAATGGAAACCAAATTAGGACAAACATAAACCAAAACATAAGAGAAATTGCACATATACACTCACTTTTATGCTTCAGGAAATCCATATATTCATATAAACATGTTCAAAGTTGACTTTTGAATTATTATACCAAAAAATCTTTTTTCAAGAAATTTAAATCATACAGTTTATGTGCCAAATAACTTCCTTTCTTTTTTTCATTGAAGACAGTGTCTTCTCTTGTACAATATATGCCAATCACAGCCTCTCCTCCCTCCCCTCTTCCCAAACCACTCCCCACTTCACCTCTCCTGTCCCCCAGATCCATTTATTAATGGTCAGTCTTAGTGCCTGCACTGTTGGTGTTCTCTCTGAAGCTGTCTCCTGTGCCATTGTGTTCAAGGTAGTTCTCCACTTTCTCTTCCATCAGGTTGGGTATGTCTGGTTGTATGTTGAAGTATTTATTTCATAAGCCTCTGTGTGTGGTTTATTTGGGAGCTGGGTGGTGGGCCCCCGAAAAGAGCAAAAACAATCAACAACACTGGATTCTCTGAATTTCTTGGGTGTCTGTTGTTATAGCCCCTTTTCATTTCTGATTTTGTTAATTTAAATATTTTCTTTCTGTCTTTTAGTCTGCTTGGACTAGGGTTTGTCCATCTTGATTTCCTCAATCAATTCTTTGTTTCATTGAATTTCTTTATTCTCTTTGTTTCTATGTTATTGTTTCAGCCCTCAATTTGATAATTTCTTCCTGTCTACTCCTTTTGGGTGTGCTTACTTCTTTTTGTTCTAGAAATTTCAGGTATGCTGTTAGGTTGCTAATATGAGATCTCTCTATTTTTTTTTAATGTATACATTCCATTTCTCGCCATGAACTTTCCTCTTAGCACTGCTTTTATGTTTCCCCTAAGTTTGGGAATGTTGCGCATCTATTTTCATTGAATTCCCAAAAATGTTTCTTTCTTTGTCTAGACCCATTCTCAGTCAATACAGAGTTGTTCAGCTTACATGAGTTTGTAAGCTTTCTGTTGTTTGGAGAAAGTTCTGTTGAGATGCTGAGAAGAAGGTACATTCTTTTGTGTTTGAGTGGAATATTCTGCAAATATCCGTGAAGTTCATTTTGTTTATACCCTCAGTTAGCTCCAGCATTTCTCTGTTTAGTAATTTTTTCCTTTTTGGTGAGCTTTCCATTGGTGGGGTATTGAAGTCTCCCACTATCTGTTTGTGAGGCTCACTGTGTGACTTAACCTGTAGTAGTGTTTCTTTTACAAAGGTGGGTGCCCTTGTGTTTGGAGCATAGATGTTAAGAAATGAAATGTCATCTTGGTGAATTTTTCTTTTGATGAATATGTAGTGACCTTCCGCATTTCTTTTGATTGGTTTTTGTTTGAAGTCTATTTTGTTAGATATTAAAATGGATACACCAGCTTGCTTCTTAGGTCCATTTACTTGGAATAATTTTTTCCAACCTTTACCCTGAGGTAATGACTATTGATTGTCAAGGTATGTTTCTTGTATTCAGCAAAAGGATGGGTCCTGGTTTTTATCTAGTCTGTTAATCGGTGTCCTTTTATTGAGGAATTAAGGCCATTGATGTTGAAAGATATAAATGAACTATGATTGTTAAATATGGTTGTTGTTGGCGACGGTGGTGGTGGTAATGGTGATGGTGTATGTTTATGTGTGTATGTGTGTGTGAGAGAGAGACACACACACACACAGAGACAGAGACAGAGACAGACAGAGACAGAAACAGAGAGACAGAAACAGAGAGACAGAGAAACAGAGAGACAGAGAAAGTTTGTGTGTGTGTGTGTGATTCCCTTCTTTTTGTTTTGCTGAAATGAGATTATTAATTTCACTGTATTTTAGTGGATGTAATTAACTTCCATGGTTTGGATTTTTCCTTCTAGCATCTTCTGCAAGGCTGGATTTGGAAATAGATATTGTTTAAGTTTGACTTCATCATCGAATATCTTACTTTCTCCATTTATGGTGACTGAAAGTATTTCTGGGTATTATAATCTGGGTTGGCATTTGTGGTCTCTTAGAGACTGCAATGCATCTGTCTAAGCTCTTTTGGCTTTTAGAGTCTCCATTGAGAAGTCAGGTATAATTCTAATGTCTGCCTTTATATATCTTGCTTGGTCTTCTTACTTTGCAGATCTTCATATTTTTCTTTGTTCTGTATTTTTAGTGTTTTGATTATGTGATAAAAGGACTTTTTATTCTTTTCCAATCTATTGTGTGCTCTGTATGATTCTTGTATAGACATCTCTTTTTTTCTGGCTAGAAAAATTTTCTTCTTTGATTTTGGTGAAAACATTTTCTAGACTTTTGGGCTGGTATTCTTCTCCTTCCTCTATTCCTATTATTCATAGGTTTGGTGTTTTCCTAGTGTCCCAGATTTCCTGGATGTTTTGTGTTAGGAATTTTGTAGGTTTAACATTTTCTTTGACTAATGTATCTATTTCTTTTACTGTATCTTCAGTGCCTAAGATTCTCTCTTCCATCTCTTATATTCTGTTGGTGAAGCTTGCCTCTGTCGTTTCTATTCACATTCCTAAACTTTTCACTTGCAGGATTCTCTGAGTTTGTGCTTTCTTTATTACTTCTATTTCTATTTTCAGGTCTGAACAGTTTTATTTGTTTCCTTCCTTTAAGTATTTGTGTTTTCCTTGCTTTCTTTGAGGGATTTTCCATTACCTCCAATTGTTTTTATTTTCCTGGATTTCTTTAGGGGATTTATTCATTTCCTCTTTAAGAACATCTATCATCTTCATATAGTTGGTTTTAAGGTCTTTTCTTGTGCTTCTTCTATATTGGAATATTTAGGATCTACTGTGGTAGAGTAGCTGGACTATGATGGTGACAAATTTCTCTTGCTATTACTGTGTCCTTTATTTAAAAAATTCTCTCATATATTAAATTCCAACTGCAGTTTCCCCTCCCTGCATTCCACCCAGGTCCTCCTCTACCACCTTCCCTCTCCCCCAGATCCATTCCTTTTCTGTTTCCTTTCAGGAAAGAACAGGCCTCCCAAGGATATCAATGGAACTTGGAATAGCAAGTTACAATAAGACTAGGCATATACCCTTGTATCAGGCTGGATAAGGCAGCCCAGTATAAGGGAAAGGTGCTTAAGAGCAGGCAAATGAATCAGACAACCCCCACTCCCACTGTTAGAAGTACCATAAGAAGACCAAACTACACTACAGTAACATATCCACAGAGAAGCTTGAACAGACCCATACAGGTTCTGAGACTGTCACTTCAAACTCTGTGAACCCTGCTTAGTTGATTCTTATGTCTGCCTCTAGGTATCTGGGTTTGGGGTGCTGACTTCTGTGTTTATTTTAGTTGTGTGGGAGTTGTGTTTCTGTTTACTCTCTGGATTTTTAGAGCGTGTGTTGGCTGAGTGTTCCCTACTTAAATGGCCTGCTTAGCTTGTGTGTTCCTGGGGAAATGTTTGCCGGTGTTGGAGGCTGGGGGAAGAGTATGTCAGGGGGAGATGATCTGAGGGATCCACAGGAGGTACGGACAGAGGAGCAGGAGAAGCTGACTCTGGTGTTGTGTGGCAATGCTAGGGGTGATCCTGAGAATTGTGTCTTGGGTAACAGAGGGTGGGACAGGCCCAAGGTCCACCTACCTGGTCTTCTGACAGGTGTGGCCTGTTTGAGCAGGAGGTGTCCACCCAGATTGGGAGCTTGGAAATAGCAGAGAAGGAATGGAATGGGAGGGAATGGCAGCAGGGGATGGTCTGTGGGATTACTGGAGGCTTGCACAGCAGGGAAGGGAAGCTGGCTAGTGTTCTGTTGCAGCACTAGGGGAGAGCCTGAGAACTGAATCTGGGCTTGAGAGAGTGAGGATGGTTCAAGGGCAGCCTATCTTATCTTCTACGTGCCAAAATTTAATAATAATGCTTATTGAGTATCTGTTATTTCCAGTTTCCAAATTATGTTTCTTAACTTTGTTTCTGTATTCTCAGTAACTACACAGTATTATAGCTGATATACATACATACATATTCTCTGAGATTCAAAGGCAGCACAGTGTTTCCATCATAGCACAGGAAATAAATGGTTCCTTTAAAATTGAAACTAGGCCTGTTGTGCTCCAATAGTAGAACAGCAATGGTAGAGTATGCTTGATGAACAGATTAAAGGGACCAGGTAGAGCCCTAACAACTTCCATCACATAGCCCAGGTTTAAAGCTAAATGAACCCTACT